AAAACTCATTTCAAAGTTATTTAATATTCAATCACCTATATTTTATCTGGATTCGTGTTTTTTGTTGTATAAAATAATGTAATAAGTACGGATATATATATATATATCCGTACTTATTACAATATTTTATACAACAAAAAACACGAATCCAGATAAAATATAGGTGATTGAATATTAAATAACTTTGAAATGAGTTTTTCTTTAAACAAGAGTCTTCCTTTAAAAAGACTCAACGTAAAGAAATAGAAAATAATTGCATCGTCGAGAAAGCTTTTGAGCTTTTTCAATATCTCAAGATTTCATTGATCTTTCAAATTTCCAGGATCAAAGTAGAGACAAAATATCGACTCGGATGTCATAGAAGTGTACCTCGCGTTTCACACATTTTAGAGCACATATTTGTACTCATTTCTGACGTCACCTCACGTCTGAAGCATCAATCGATATTGCTTGTTATTATACGTGATTCAATTCTACATCGTTTTCGCATTATCGCGTGTCACGGTTACACACCGGCACCGATTCCCGCGCGGTCGTAAATCCCGCAACGTGACTTCGCTCGGGGAATTTGCCTTCCTGTACCGATTCAGCTCAACCGGATGAAAACCTCCTGTGACAGCGATGTAACCCTTTGCGTTTGCAACCCTTTGCATTTAACGAGTCGTATTCAAGGGTTCACGTACGGCCGAAATGTCCTCTAAAAAAAGGAAAAAGAGGAGAAAAAAAACACCGAGGCACGAGGATCAAGGGAGGTCCGACTAGAGGTCGATCCGCGGGGGGAGGGGGGAACGGCGTGGGCGGAAAGCGCGCCGGATATATCGGCCCGGGTCAACGGCAAACTCGTCCGCAGTTAACGATTTAATTAATTTCGCAGCCCCTAGCGGCGGCGGACCGGATAGCCGCGGTTACCGGCGACGGATTTCCTGCGGAAATCGAATGAAAATTTTTAACCCGCGCGCGCCCCTATCCCTTCGCGAGGAAAATACGGTGTAAAAAGGCAGTCAGCGAGGGCGGAACGGAAGGGAGGGGGCGCGGAAGGGAACGGAAGACAAATTCTCCCCCCAACCTGCGTTCCAGCGAAACTGCGGAATGTTTATTAAATACCGAAGGTGCTGGTTTGCCCGACCCTCCCTTCCTCCCTCCTCCTTCTTCGTCCTTCCGAAATTTTCCGTCCGTTGCAAACCGAGAGGGACCGCGAGAGGGAGAGTATTAACCGCGTGTCCGTGCGAAGGCCAACGTATCGAGTATTCGGGAATCGATCGGGGGTGGAGTCGCGGTCGACCGGGGAAATAAGGAGGGCGGGCGAGGAAGCCGCTCCGGTATCGTTGATTTAATTCGCACGC